AAGAACAAATTTGATAGAAATTAGGAACCACCCAACAGAATCCTAGATCAGATTCCAAATAGATCTCCTATCCACACGAGGAAAGCGAAATCTCCAACGGCAACTCCTAATGCTATCTCCACCGAAGCCTAGAACTCTAAGAACCAAGCTTCCAACTGAATCTTCCTCCACCTAATCCAAAACACCCTAGATCTGTAATCTGGACTCTGATACCACTTGTTGCGTGCAGCGGAAATTTCGGCAGCACTTCGGCAGCACAACAAGAGAGTCAGGTCGCAATAAGAATTCTTGTTTCTCAAAAGGAACAAGAATCTGAAGCCTAATATCTCATCAAAGTGAGATATTAGCTCTTCCTCTCATCAGCTCTAGGACTGCGCGTCGAGGGAACCTAAAAGCTATTACAAATCACACAAATAGCAGTACAACCAATTTTTACGTGGTTCGGCAAATTGCCTACGTTCACGGGGCAAGGAGGGGGGAGATCTACTAATAGAGGGAGAGAATACAACTAGGGTTTACAATCACTCTCAATCTAAACCCTCAAACAAACTCTCAAATCCCTCACAAATATCTCTCACAAAAGGATGCACAAACCCTAACAAAAAAGGCTACACAAAATCAAATTCCCTTTGCTCAAACCTCCTGTGCGTGCACACTGTAGCCGCCAACTAGTCCTCCTGCGCTCTGCCTCCTTCGCACAAAATCAAAGAAAAAAACCTAGGACCCTTTTATAACAGAGTTAATTTTCGGGTGGGCCTTCATGCATGCGGAAACAAAACCGCTAGCAAGCCTTCATGCATGCAGAAACAAAACCGCTAGCAATCAAATCAACCCTCCGCACATGGTGGCCCCCACAAACTGCACACGTACGCTGCACATAGTCAAATATCTTAATTATTTACTTTAAGTTTATTCATCTACTATAACATGGTTGCAAAAAACTTTATAATTATCATAATATATTAATTTTTTTTGGATATTTTTCATGTGTAAAATCTTTTTGGTTTTAACATTTTGTCTTTTAAAGAAATAGTTATGTTTAAAGCTTTAAAATATTAATGATTTATCGTTAATTAGTAATTTGAATGTATAATTTCAAAATATTAATGATGTAAGGGACCAATACGAAAAAAAAACTATCATTATTAATGAAAAAATAAATTCTTGAATTCATCATCAAAGAGAGATGGTAGATTCTATCTAGTCATTAAGGATTTTGTTCAATTATAAAAAATCACTTCCACTTATGATTTACTTCTACATATTGTTTATCCGGCGACCGAATATTATAGATGTTCGAGAACTTTTTTTTTTGTAATTTTCTAATTTAGAATGTGCAAATGCAATCAAGAAAGAAAATATAAATAATGTGATCAATTCCAAAACCTGATATTGTACTCTTTTTACATCTTCCCGACTATTAATTGATCTGTCAAAACGATTACTCTCTTGCTAGTTTCAGAAAATTATAAATATAGCCTGAGAATGATTTATACATATTATGCACTCATATTGATTGTATTTTAACAAAATAATTGTTATCTATCCAATGTCAAACAACATCCAAAATTTTAGCTTAAGGAATTACAAAAGTACAATATCCGCAATGATACACATATCCAAGCTTTGAGCTTCATAAACTTAAAAGAAGGCGAGTAATATAAAATGACAAATTAATTTATTTTGTCAAATAATTTATTACAAATCATGAAAAACAAGAGGAATCAGAAGGATCACATACACATCTCATATAAATAATAAACTTCTCTTAGGGGGTGTTAGTCAATTGGCACATTTTCATGCAAAATGAGATAATTGTTAAAGTGGAATAATTTTTTGCTAGTGAGATGTTTTAGTAGGATAAACAGGAACAATTTTGTGAAGCGGGATATTTTGATAAAATAACGTGTGATAAAATTTTATAATCATGCAATATATATTTATGCATTTTGAAGATATAAATACTATTTATGTATTTTAAACTTACTATTATTGATTGATAAGATATAAATACTATTTATGTATTTTAAACTTACTATTATTGATTGATAATTGCTTACAAGAATGTTCTTTATGTATTTTAAACTTACTATTATTGATTGATAATTGCTTACAAGAATGTTCTTTACTATTAAATAACTTTCGATTAGACTATAAAATATTGATAATTATTATTATAATGTTGGTCTAATTATGGTGATAACCATAATAGGAAAGAAGTAAAGAAAAAAATATAAAAAATAATAAAATAAATATGAGTTCTAGTTTTTTATCACCTAGTTCCAAGCTAAAACTTAGAATAATTTGAGAGACTAGAACTCTCATTTTTGTATAGAAAAATAAAAAAATATGATAATTTTGTACCATTATCTCAATTATAGTTTTGTTAGAGTTCTACTTAACTAACACTGTAAAATTTTGTTCTAGTTTTAGTTTTATGTGACTAACACCTTAAAAGTTTATCCCACAGATTATCTCAGTTCCAATTTTAAGTTCTAGGTAGACATTCTTATAGCAAAAGATTTTCAGAGTTGATGTGCAAAATAAATTTAATGACAAATAATACAAACCAGTTCATTGAATGATAGACTTGCTATAAACTCCAATCTTATAAACTTGATGTCACATGTGCCTTACGTTGTGCTTTTGTTTAAGGGTTAATTGTAGAAAACTCCCCCTCAACTATATGGTGCATGTCAACCCCCCTCCCCATCAACCCACCTCCCGAGGAAATCTCCGCCAAGTTTTGGGTGTTTTGTAGATTATCTATCTCAATTTAAAAAAAATTGATTTAACCCCTGTGGAATTTTCTCACTTAAACTTAACCTGTCAAAACTAATATCGTTAAGTCATATCTATTATGTAACAAGTACTTGATTTGTAAAGACAAAAATATCTATCAATCATAAAAGAATTACTTTGGTTTCCAGATGAATGAAAAAGAGGTGATATAGAGGGAAAAAGAATTACAAATTGGTTGTGGTCCTTTTATTATCGGTTGACGGTTTCTTTTTAACTAAAATTGCTTTCTTCAAGAGTGTATTTTATCCAAATCACATATTGAAGTGACTATTTTAAGGAGATTTATTGATAGAAGTGTAAAAAATTAGGGGATTTTTTATGAGACACATTATACTTGAGAGGTGTTTTCTAAAATTGCACAAAAATTGAGAAAGGTTATCTATAATACCCCACATAAGAAGGGGATTTTGTCAAATTGAATCAGTTTGATGGGTTTTTAAGACAATCCTTATAGTTGAGAGGGTTTTTAAAAATTAACTCTTCTTTTAAATATGACTTATTCATAATTTGTCCATCAGAATTTTAATTATTTAATATTAGTCCCTAAAATTATGAGCATTTTCAAAAATGTAAGGGTATAACATAGATTTTTTTGGATATTTTTAAAATCAATGAATTAATATCTAAATAACCTTTACATATTTGCTCTTATAGGCACTGCATTAAATATCGATCGATATATTGACTTATCGGCCAATATATCGGGTTAAAAACTTTATCTTGATAATATTTTATGTTGTTTTCTTTTGTTTGGTAATTTTTTTGATATATCGACCACTATCGTAAATATAGCTAATATATTCCTTTGAAGATGTCTAGAAAATTGTCACTTTTAATTGGTTTTGGATTGTGTTTGGGAAACAAAATTGGAACCCACAAAACCCATAAATGCTACAATTCTTCTCCTAAATTTTTCTACTTTCAACTCTCCCAAACCTTAAGCATATATCTTGATGCAAATTCTTATGTTTAAAATTCATTAATATGTTAGATTACAAATTATAATGTCATGTTATGTATGAATATTATCTCATATGACACCCGGTATTATATACATCTCCATGTTTTTGGAATTCGATATCATAGATTTTATTTGTTCAATGTTTATTTGATGTCCAACACCTTGTAATAGTCCTTCGAAAGCCTCTTCTAAAGTTTTCTAAGCAAAGTATATAATTTCAGGAAATAATTCAAAATCTTGAGACTCATTCAAAATATGATGCTTTAATTTTTTCACATCTCCTCTACAATACAAATATAAGCTATGCATCTGGCTTCATATTGTATGATGAATATATTTATCAATGGGATCATATACTATAGTTTGTGGATAACAAATGTTTCTAATCTTTTATAGGCTTAACGAACTTAAATACCTTATAGTTTACCAAAATTATACTTATATGCCTCCACTTGTAACTTGCTGCATTTTTTCTAATTTTAGATAATGTATCTTATTGCACTTAAATATCTTAATATTTTCTAAATTTTTTATGTATGTATCTTCTGTTATGTACCTAAACATTAGGATGCTCTTTGTAATTCCCTACATGAGTGTCGACATAATTTCAAAACAATTCTATGTTTCCTACTATTTCCACAAATACTTCATTAATAGACAACTATCTATTAATATATTATACATTACTAATAATTAATATGATGTAGAGTTTTACAATAATGTTAAAAGTTTTAGAGACCAAATTATACAAACATAAAGTGACATATAGTATAATTAAACAATGATAATTAATTTAGTTTAATTAGTATTAGAAGGTAATATATAAAAAAGAACATGGGTAATATAGTCATTGGATAGTTTTTCCACAAAACTCCCCCTTTTCCTCTTTCCATAAGTACTTTATTAACATGAAATAATCTATTTACATATTATTATACATTACTAAAAATTAATATGGTGTAGAGTTTTACAAAAAGGTCGAAAGTTTTAGGGACCAGATTATACAAACATAAAATGACATATAATATAATTAATTAACAACGATAATTAATTTAGTCTAGTTACTATTAGAAGGTAATATCAAAAAAGGATATGGGTAATATAGTCTTTAAAAAGTTTTTCCCCAGCTCCCACTTTTAAAGGGAGTATGATTTGTAAATTGACTCTTGAGCTTTTCCTCAAAACACAATCATTTTGAAACTGAACTTGGAAAAAAAATGCATTTGTAACAAAACAGTTAATTACAATTACAATGTATATAAATTGTAACTGTAATTACAGGCTCGATCTTACAAGTGCTAAAACAAGAAAGTAAAAAGATAAAGCCTTTTAACCGTAAATTATGCCAACCATTTCTATTGCTCAAAACTATAAAAATACATTTAAAAGGAAAAGCATTACAGTGAAGAACAATTTTATATAAACTTTTGTGTGAACATGCATTCTTCACAAACTGCAGACATGCATTAAATCCATGAGAGAAACCATCATTAAGTTGCTTCTTTAGCCTGAGACCTCTCAATATCTTCAAGCCTTTTCAGCCACCGGAGGCCGAGGTCAGACCCAGCCTCTGCAGCAATCTGGAACTGCTCCTTGGCCCTCTTCACTGGATCCTCTCGCACGTTCTTGGAGTTCTTCTTCGCTCCTCCAGTCAATGGGCTCCTGCTCGCTTCGAACCTGGTTATCACCTCCGGTACTCTGACACCTTTAAAGACGAAACCGAGGACACAATCGCCAATATTTTCCGTAAATTTGGTTAAATAGAAATAAGTGGGGACAAATGCTAAATGGAAGTACCTTTAAGAAGTAGCGATCCATATGCTATCGCTGCTCCTGCATGGCCCTGCACGGTCACAGAGATTAGTTTCACACACAATGAATTATAAATGGGGATACTGAATATGGGAATGATGGTTATGAGGTGGCGGCTCATTAGCAAAATGAGCTACCAAGAGATAGAAAGATGAGATCCACACCTTTTAATGTTACTAGCAAGGTGGGCCTCATCACATGGCTAACTTTTAGTAGCTCATTTAACAAAATGAGTCGCCACCTCATACCCATTATTTCCATTGAATATCATTTAATATAATAATCTGTTAAGAGATAAAGGTTGTCAGATTCACCTGCTCTGATGAGACTGATAGGGTGCAACTCACCAATAGTTTTCCCCTTTATAGTTCATTTAGCAAAATAAAATTTAACCTCAACTTCATTTCTTTCAATTCGAAATGTCTAGAGTATAAAATTATAAACCTTAATCCTCACCACAACACTGAAATTTTGCTATAGTGAAAAGGTCCTTTGACATTATAACAGAGCAAACCAAATTCAAATCTTACTAACAATGACTTTAAAGCAGATTAAAGAAAACAGGACCAAGAGTTCAAGTCTTGCGTATTAAATTATAACCCTCAATCCTCACCCCCCATTTCGGAGTTTTGGTACAGTGGCAATGTCCTTTGACAATATCTACTAGAATAGTTAGTTTGTTAGAGAAGAAGATAGAAGAGTGTGTGCCTGCATTTTTTTTGGAAGTACAGTTAGAGTTTAGGTTGTGGAAACATAACAGGCTATGATAACATATATTAGAAGTGATTAAACCAAAAGAGACATGGATAGTCAAACTTTATTTATAGGATACAATTGTACGTTTTCTGAATGTGAGCGTAAAACAAAATTCTGTAGCTTTTCTAATACTCTATCTCTAATATGATCAGATATTTTACAACATGATGAGATTGATTTAGGGTTATGATATATTTCAGCTATTCTCATGTGATCATATGACTAGATAAGACTACTGTTTTAAAAAGAATGTTTTCAATGTGAGATTACAACAAACTTCTGTAACTTTTCTTGATGATGTAACTATGGAAATACATGATATAACAATTCTCGCTGATCATTCGCCAGCAGAGTGCTATAAGCTTAATGTGATTTCCTTTTAAAGAAAATTAATTGTTTCCTCAGCAACTCAACACCTGATATTGCTGTGCGTATGCTTCTACTAAAATCGAGTACAACTTATTGAATAAAGAACACGTTAAAAACCTTTTCCGATGCCCGATGGAAGCACCACATTGCAGAAGCAACGTCTTTCTTCACACAATCTCCAGCCAAATATACTGCACCAAGAAGATACAAAGCACCTGGATGCAACTAGAACAGCATATAAATTTGAGTGAGAATCGTCAGATAAAAATGTAACTATGAAACTTGTGGATAGGAAGAATACCTGGTCAACAGCCTTCTCTAAATAATAGAAAGCTTGTTGATCTGACTGAACATAGTCATTCTATAACAAAAATAACGATTGAGGGAAAAAATGCATTAGTTCAAGACTCCAATAAAAAAGCTAGAAATGTAACTAAAGTGAATGGAGAATAAGAAAACCAGACGACTATTAATAGGAAAGATACATAAGCTTTTAGTAAATGTGTTTTGGCTAATGATTAATGAAATATCAGTCTCTCATTCAGAGGATGCTTGATATAATAAGGGAAAAAATTCTTAATTGGTTATGATCACATTATACGTGAACTGAAAGATAGTGCCCACCAAATAATGTGCATTCACTTTGTTGACAAGGATCTGCACTTGAAAAAGTACAGAAGGGTTAACAAAAGTGTATGACTATAGCATGTTATGAAGATAATGTAGAAAATTCTCACCAATGGGCTCAGATAGAATACATTATTTATTTAGTCAGTCAACCATCTAATCATTTTCCCCATCAAATGTCGTTGTATGGAGCATTACCCTTTTGAGAAGAATGAATACAAATTTAGATGACATTTTACAACTGTCTATAATAATGATATAAGCTCCCTTATTTATTTATGTTTTATTTTATTTCTATTTTTATTTTGTGTTTGAGAAAAAAGGATGGGGCCTCACACAGGAATACCCCAACCGTACTACTTTATAACTATATATAAGCTCTTGGATATTGCTGTCAAATTCGAGCCAAGGAAACCAAGTACTAATGTTACAGAAAGTGCTAGGCAGCCTAGGCATTGGACCCAAAGGCCAGAGCCTAAGCACCTATGTGGGTCATTGACGGTTTTCCTATTTTTTATTTTTTTAATTACAATAATTGATAGCAAATGTTATAGAAAGCTTAGGCGCTGGACTGGCGTCTAAGAGGATTTATTTCTTCGTTTAAGTGGTGGTGGAGAAGGTTTTACTAATGGTCATAGGGGGTAGAGGAGATGTTCATAGTTGGAGGTTGGAGGAGTCTGGAGGACGTGAAGGCTACAACTGAAGAAATCACGATCAATGCCTAAAAGGTGTAGTTCATGTAGACGGACTATGCTCCTCTAGGTACTCCCAAAACCTAGGTGGACAACCAAGGTACTGTATAAGCACTAGGCGGGAGGCCTAGGTACCGCCTAGACGAGCTAGGCGGAGGTTTTTAAAAACATTACCAAGAACAAGAGAGAACTTGCTCAAGGAAGGAATACCCTTGGTTAACAACATATCACCCTGTGGTTCATTTCACTTAAGCCTGAAAAAAAAACTTACTCATTTGCATTGGAAGAAGGCGAGAAGGTTTATAGTTAAAAGATTTATGTTGGGCATCATCTGAACCTCCCTGTTCAGTAACTAGCCTGAATTAGTAGCCTGTGGGATCAAACACTTACGCTCCCGTACCATTTAAAGCCACTCCAAGCAGAAATAAATCATGCCACCTCACAAACTTGGCCCCATACCACAGCCTTGAGCCATAATATTATTCATATTTAGAATTCTACTGCTTCTATTTGAACAATGGTTCTAAAACCTAGGAGGAGCTGGATCACATGATTTGTTTCTGACCTTCTGCAGGAATAGAAGTCTAGAAGTTGCTTTTTCAGGACTTTAAAATGATTGATTAACATTGTGAATCTTGAGTTCTTAACCACAACCTGTCTCATCATGTATGTAAAGCTGCATTTGATGTCAAAGGACGTTAAGGTACACAAACCATTGGTTGCTTAAACATAAATTTGTTTATATTTTTCCATATCTTTGTAGTTAACAGATCAACAATTTGACTTGTTTTCAAAAATTAAACCAGGCCACATACTTTGATTCAGCTTCATATATCATAATTGTTCGCCTCAAAGTAGGCTCTGCGCATACAATGACACAAATTTTAACACAGCCATGGAATTATCACTAGATTTTCAGAATATTATAAAATATAGTAGATGGTGCATAGAAAAAAGACTTACCAAGATCAGTTAGTGATTTACTTGACGAATCCTTTCTCGACATGCAATGAAATCATGTATTTTGTTCAAAGTATTTATAAATCATACACTGTAGACCAGATCGTCTCCACCATTTGCCTTTCACTGAGATTTGAGCCCTTTATCCTTATTTTGCCACTAATAAGTACCCAAAAGATCAACCAACCTTTATTACCACATTCTTATTGTTTATTCGTTTCAAAAGTTCCCAGCAAGACACTTGTTCCTCACAAATAACAATGCCTCTTCCCAGCGCAAAATAGTGAAAAGAATGTAGTATCGTTGCCCCATGTTTGTTTATTTGACTCAAAAGTATTCTGATTTAGAAAAGAAAAGAAACGGTGTATGGTCCAGAGTTTCTCGAGGGAGAATACAAGGAATAAGGAACAAGGGGGGTAACACTAAAAAAGGCCTTCAATCATTGATCTTTATCTCTCTGTGTGTGCCTGTGGTGTGAGTAGGTGGCTGTTTGGGGATTTTAAGTGTGCGCGCACATGTATTTTGGGTTGGGGCATGAAACAAGATTATGTTGGTTCAGTACCATTTATTACTATTATTTAAGAAAACCTACATTTTGGTGTTCTACCCCTGTGTGTGTCATGCTTTAAAAAATCCAAAACGTGTCCTATTAAACAACCTCACAACTTTCGGGGATGTTTGTTTGTATGAAAGTGAAAGGAGGAAGTGTGAAAGCGAAGCACTTGAGGTGTTTTTTTAATTGGAAGTGGTGGTGGAAGTAAAATGTCAAATTGAATCCGCATCAGAGATTTTTAACACAGATTTAAGTTTCCCTAAAAAAGTGTTGAAGTCAGATGAAAGTGAGAAAAGTAGGGACCACTCCAATTAAAAAAACTATATTTATTAGTTTTAAGTTCTTTCTTTATGATTCCAGTGCTAGCAACCGCCTCTTTTCTCTCCCTGCTTATTTTTTTCCTCCGTTAATTTCTATCCTGTTCGTATCTCTATTTCTACAAATTCAGAAGCATTTAACCTAGGCTTTGTTGATCTTTTTCTACATCGTTTTTTGTATCATGATCAGTATTAGAGGGGAAACATTAATGACTTCACTTTTGTCTTTTATAATCCTGTCTTTAATTTCAGTTTTAGATCCATTGGTTTATGGATCTCTTTTTTAGGGTTTTCATAACATCTCATACTTTTATTTATTTTCTGATTTTAGATCTAATTGAACAATTTTTTTTCATGAAGTATTTTACTTTGCCAATTTCATCTTTGTGTGTTGGATATTTCTTTGAAATTAATGTATCCCCTCCCTAAATTATAGTGCATCATAGAATTTTCCATGGTTAAAAATAGGTCAGCAGGGTGAGTGTTTTATAAATTAATTTCAGATAAATAAATAATATGATATTGCCACATCATTTTTACTTTTTTAGTTACAGTAATAATTTATTTTGCAAACAAACATCGTCTTTCACTTACAAAAAGGATGTGACTTTCACTTTTCAATTCACTTTCAGTTTGCCAAACACCCCCTTCATTGCTTAAAATGTAATGGAGGAACAATTTGGAAAACAATCTAGGAATCCTAACAAACTATCTACCTACTACTCTCCTTAACCATCTAATAACTGCCCCTAATAATTCTATCCATCTCTCCTAAAATCTCAGATGACCAATCCCACCACAATCTCTCAAACATCACACATATGTCTCTCTAACATTCTCTCTTCTCCCTATCTATCTGCGACAACTGAAAGAAAAAACATTTCCACTCACATTATCAAATTTTACTCCAATCTCATCTTCTCCCCTCCTAATGGACTCCAATAAACAAACAAGTCCAAATTGAGAAAAAGCTTCCATGACTACCACAGTTGCTTAGCCACTACACCCATTAATGTAAGTACTTGCCACCGTTGTTATTAGACATCATTCTCCCCAATCGTCCTCCGACCTCTGAGGCGCAATGGTCTCTGCCTATTTTGATTCTTTCTAAAACTTTTTTTCTTCCTCTGATGAGGACAACAGGATCAATAATCTATGGAAGAAATTAGGGTATGTCAAACAAAGTTGATAAGTTTAATGAAAATAAGGGTATGTTAAACAAAGTTGATAAGTTCAATGAACTATTACTTATCATAAATTATTAAGTTGTAGCTAACAATTTTTTCGCATAATTTGTACTGCACTGTGTATGCACGCATCGCGTGCAGGAGGGAGTACTAGTATTAACTTATGAAGATATGTCACCTTGATATTTTAACAAAATTTACCCCACTGGCCTTTTTAAGGCTGTTGCCGCCCGGGAATTCCTTCCCCATGGCTTCACCCCCTCAAGCAACTTTACAACACAGATGCACACTGTAACTTTCCAAAGGATAATAATTTCCTCCCTTTTAAGAAATGCACTAGAAAATCAGAGTCGGTTGTGCTTACCACTAAATTTTGCTTCTCATTGGAGTAGAAATTTAAGTAACATAACAGTAGCCATTTTTGCCATGAAAATAGATAGTTCTGAAACAATTTGCTTTTTCTGGTATATAAGCAGAAAATTTCACCACAAGGTAGAATACATCGATGTTTGCTTTTCAAATATTGCAGTTTGTCTGTAAGCTATCTGCTTTTGTCATGTAGGATGAGAACCATTTACAAAAATCTGAAACTGGATGAAGAAGGGGAAGCGAAGAAATTTGTGTTTTTGCAATTAGGCTATATGGTATACATGCACAAAAAGAAGTATAGGAAGTAAACACTTGCAATAGGGAATTCGGGGGGTGAGCACAAAAATAAGGGCGAAGGAGGACAAAGAAAAAGCAAGGGGTGCGATTTTTCCCTTCTCTGCATCCCACTGTACCATAATAACTCTATCCAGTATTCAAGCCATTTGGCTAAACCCGCTTTAATGCCAACTCATGCTAGTTAAAACTTGAAGGATTAAAAGAAAACTCTAGAAACACCTATTCATGGAGGCATTCTAAAGTTATTTTGTTCGCCCTGATTGTCTACTAAACTTATGGTCTTCCTTTCCATTACCTACTACAACAATACACAGAAAAATAAATTTATACTCAAAAGTCAAACAGAAGACATAAGAAACTAGCATGAAGAGTAACTTGAAGTATCTATACTTTTGGTCCTAGAAAGTGTGAGATGTAGGAACACCTACATAGACATTTTTATCATGATGAGTGCAAGCATCGACAAAGAAAAACCAAGATTAATTAAGGCAATGGTGTAAAGGTCGTGTGCGCCCAACTTCTCCTTTTATGGAATTTCCTTTTCCTCCAACACATGCCTACACCAATAGGAAAATTCAGCCCATTCAGTGCTCAAAAAACGCAATACAAGTGGATGGTCTCGAAACCGAAAGTAGTGTGGAATGCCTAGGTTGATTTGTCAGTGTACTAGAAAGAAGGCTGATGTTTTGACAGGGAACAAAGAAGAAACATGAGAAGGCAACATGTACTGTAGCATGATATGAACACAGTAAAAAAACTTTTGCCATGACACTTTTTTGAAAACTTTGATAAGAGAACCAAATCTACCTCAATGCGCAAGTGGCAGCCAAGTTCATACTGTGCATCTGCATCACCCATATTTGCTGCTTCAACAAGTAAAGCAGCTCCACTGTATATTAAACAAAATAAATAAGAAGATTGCACTGTAAAGTTCAAAAAATTGTGGGAATTTTTACATCAAATAATTGTGAAAAATAAGGTTTGTGAAAAGTCTAACAAGCAGATTTTGCACAAAGGCAACAAAAGTTGTGAGATGACAGTAGAAGAATGACAAGTATCCCTAAGAATTATTTTTTTCCCTAAAAGTCCTACTCTTTTCGACATATAATACCAGGGACGAGTCCATAATTGTTTAGTTGGGGGGTCTGTAGGGTCCCGAATGAGCAAATAAAATCAAGTGTGTTATCGTTTTGCAGTTTCAAAAAATTTGTCCTCCATAAATTAGACGTGACAAAGGCTCTAGTATAACTCAACTATCCCAACAAGTTAAGAAATATCCATTCAGAAATTAATTAGTTAAACAATAATAATGGAAAAGCTAATAAGTTACACACAAAATTGATGATACAAAAATTTTAATATTAATTTCAAAGTTAATAAGTAATAGACTAAAAAGAGAATCAAATGTCACAGATCAAAGTACAGGGCTTAACAATAGTCACCCCACCTTAATCCTCTAAACTGTTGTTGCACCCAAAGAATAAGAAGAAAACCATAAAATTTCTTATTTATTTCTTTCTGCTCTTTGCAGAAACACGGAGAGAATTTCTAGTGCTCAAGGATCTTTTTAATAAATAAATATCCTCCAATTAAAACTCATGTCTAGTGGGCCCACTATAATTCTTATAAGATTTACATCCTTTCACAACTAAGATATGTGAAGGGTCTCTTCCCCCAAAAAAAAAAAAAAAAAAAAAAAAACAAAAACAAAAAAACAAAAAAAAGGACTTGTCCTTGTGTAATGCTACAATTCCACCCAACAAAAGCAAATATTGACTTTGTTAGATAATGAGAATGCACTTATTAGAAGTTAATTACCCACACAAGTTTACAAGCCCCGGGAACATGATACTTGAAATGCATCCTGCCTAGCCAATACCTCGCATGGGTGTTCATGTTATCAACCTCCAATGCCAACTCAAAGTTTTCTTTTGCACCCTGTTAGAAGAAAAACTTTTATATAAACAATCCCAAAACAATTACCAAAATAAAGTTTTGTATCAGAATAAAAAAAATCATGGCAGTGTTGCACCACAAGTGTGTACAATAACCACTACGCAAAGACTAAAACATAACCAACAAGTACACAAACAAAATGACAAAGAACAAATCGTTGAGAAACATAACATTTATCTATAAACTGCCTACCAAAAAAAAACTTAAATTGAACATAAAGATGAAGAAAGAAGTAATCGAAATAACATAAAAGTGTACTTAAAGCTACCTAATCAAAGCATAAGAAGGAATTTTCAATTATGATACTTCTATTGTACAATATAAAGCTAGAAAGGGTTTGAAAATATTACAATGCACCCATTCCTACTAGAAAACTTAAGAATGCAAAAACTCGCAGAAAAGGGAAACAGAGCAAACCCTGAGAAGAGGTATGAGACGTGGATCATTCAACTCCGTGTGGTCAATGACTCTATCAACCTCTTGGAGGGCACTCCACCCTTTGGCCACTAACTCCATTGCCTTCTTGTTCCTATCATGTACGCCTCTCTTTCCATATGCAACAAAACAATTGGATGTACCAAACAAGTCAATTACCAATACAAACTAAACCCAAAATGATACAATTTTAAACAGAAGAAAACTGACCCTCTGGTTCAGAAAACATAGAGGGTTTTGCCTCTGAGCAGCCCTTGATAAGAACAGTCGAAGCATTGCTCAAATAATTATCGATGAGGATCCTCTTATAGATGCTGATAAAACTAAATTAAAAATAATAATAATGGTAAGACTTCATCGGGGTATTATGTGATCACATACTCTATTAGTGTATGCATTAGTTTTTTCTATAAAATGAAATTGATCATATATACTCCAACTGAAATTTTAAAAATTAATGCCAAAATATATAAATTCTATGTCAAATTTTTATAACGAAACTAGGCATGTTGCCGGTACCTGTGGATTGCACAGTGGTCTCATAAAAATAGTTTATTGGGTTTCATTTCATTCTGAAGCCCAGAACCAATTTAGTATCAACCCATATCATGAACAAGAAAGTTACTGTTTATCTATAGATGTCACGGTATTGTTAGCTCTCTTAGGCAAAAGGTCGAACACCTACAGGGCATTAGCTTGAGCTAAACCTACGCAGAAAATTATCATCGTCAGTACATATTATTATAGACAGAAAAGAAAAGGTGCCTCTTTTTCTAACAGGTAGCAACTAGAAAAGATGTGTATCATGGGTCTAGTAGAGAAGGAAAATACCTAAATTGATTCTAAAATGTTTTATTCGAGGGATAAGTTTGTTCTTGCGTTTAATGTAATTCCTTGATATATCAAAAAACGATTAAAAAAAGTTGATTATAATAACAGTGAGTTGATAGAAATATCAACAATTGAAATGAGCACATAAATTAGAAATAATTCAAGAGCACCAAAAAGATAATAAAGAAAAGAAACGAAAAAAAAGAGAGATAGGTGCCAAATTGAAATCATGATTTTAACTGATAACTCTTTAAAGGTCTATTTGTTTTATTTACTAAAACAAATAAGTGCAACATTTTAAAGGTTTTTTTGTTTTATTTCCTAAAACATGAGAAAATAAATCCGGAACAAAACATACTTTTTCATAAGTTTCTATGCATTTTTTAGAAATGCTTTCTTGTATTTGTTTTGACATAAAATAGAGTGCGCAATCTGAGTGGAATTGTAATCCGTTGTTTATTTCAACCATAAAAAATAGGAAAGGAAAAATTGAGCAAAATTATTTCTAACTGTCTACTCTAAAATTCACCAAATTTTAATTAATAAATTCACCTTTCCTCCTTTTCTAACCCCAACCTTAAGCTTATAGAGCAGAATTGTTTTTCACTCAAAACTTGGCGCTTCCCGTATTTATAGGAAAAGCTTTCCTATAATTGCTTTGTGTAACAAGTACAAGAATAGAAAAGTTTCAACCAAAAAATCTAAAAACTGACACTGTCAGGGAGGTTGCATATGATTTCCTTTTTTTTGTGAACAAACACGCTCTAATAGAAATATGAGTAGATTATCAAGTAAAATCTATTCTTATGGACTATCACATCTGCCAATTCTCATAAGTTGTTTCAAATTAATCCCTCCAAATTATTTTTGCTCTTAAACGGAGGGACTAATTTGAAAAATACATAAGAATTGACCTAATAGCAATTTCAATGATTTGAGGGGCTAATTTCAAAATATGAAAGATTTAAGGGGCTAATATTAAAAAACCCTAAATTAAAGGGTTCTTAAGATATCAGTCCCTCATATTTCTGAAATTGCTCAGAAGCCCCTGAAATTCTTAAAGTGATCCAGCAAATTGGCTCGTTTGTTAGTTTTTCAGCTAGATGTAGAAATCATGATTGGATTCTTAACCCAACATGCTCAATTATTAAACTAAACCCTCGAATTTTGCGGGTGAAGTTCAAAGATGATTTAGGGGGGATTTTGAGCATTAGTGTAAGTCATGTTATGTCAGTTTTGGATTTTTAGTTAGCAACTTTTGAGTTAAACGTATTAACGAATGTGCAGGTTAAAATTTAAATGAGTACAACTGGAAGTTCCCTTCAAAATAGATGTATTAACGAATGGGTACAAAAATATGGTTTTATGCATGCATGTATATATGCATAGAATGCTCACATACAAAAATATGGTTTTATGCATGCATGTATATATGCATAGAATGCACACATACTTTGACAACCAAATTTTTTAACAGCCCGACTATATAAAAAACAATCTACAGTTAAATTAAAGGATGAAAATTGACACAACGAGCAAAGCATGTGCGCTATACTTAATACGTTTAAACGAATGGGCAAGTTAAACTTAAATCAGGAGTACAACTCGAAGTTCTAGGTTTTTTACGTGATTGTTTCTAAAAGAAGATAAATACATTCAATCATGGAATTCTCAAACCTTGAACCATATAAATTTTATACTAGAGTTATTTGAATTGCTTTTAAATTATAAATGTGTAACATTTTACACCTAGGCCATTGAATGGCTTATTGCTTATGATATTACTGGAATTATTTGAACTGCTTTCAAGTTATAAACATGTAACGATTTACACCTAGGCCATTGAATGGCTTATTGCTTAACATATTTACTAAATATTATATCTATTATTTACTAAATATTATATCTATATGTTATTATACATGCACGTATAAAACACATAAATATATACATAGAATGTACAAATGCAAACCATATCCTTCAAATTCTTCTCATAATCCCAACCTTATTAAATCGCTTTAATTAGACTATAATGTAACTATTTTTTTTACTAAAGATGAATATATTTTATTTAATAAACTATATTATAATTATTGTTAGATATATCTCTTATTTATGAAATATTATATCTATATATAATTATATACATCAAACAGGTATGTACACAAAAAATGAGTCTACACACAACAGTTAAATTAAAGGATGAAAATTGATACACGTGCAAAGCACGTGCACCATACTTGTTGTATATTATGAATTAGTCTCATGCATAAGAAATTGAGTTTTAACTCAAAAGGAAAATGAAAAAAAAGAGTGAAAAAAAGAATTTAACGTATAATTCCAAGTAAAGAATTGGAAGAAAGTTCTAGGTTTTTTACACGATTGTTTCTAAAAAAATACATTCAATCATGGAATTCTCAAACCTTGAACCATATAAATTTATACCGAAGTTATTTGAACTGCTTTTAAATTATAAAGGTGTAAAATTTTACACCCAGGCCAATGAATGCCTTATTGCATATTATATTACTGGAGTTATTTGAATTGCTTTCAAATTATATACGTGTAACACCTAGGCCATTGAATGACTTATCGCGCATCATATTTACTAAATATTATATCTAGTATTTACTATATATTTATATATTATTATAATGTTACAATACTATAATAAAAGTGTTGGTATGTTAAGACAGTATTATTAAATACTATTATAAGTGTGTCGGTATGATAAAATATTTTTCCGAAAATACCCTCTAATATATATACATGCACATATAAAACACATACATATATGCATAGAATGCACACATGCATGCATAAATCATAGCCTTCAAATTCTTCTCATACCCCACATCTTATTAAATCACATTAATTAGACTATAATATAACTATTTTTTTACTATAGATCGATATATTTTATTTGATAGACTATATTATAATTATTGTTAGATATATCCATTATTTACTAAATATTGTATCTATATATCATTATATACATCAAACAGGTATGTACACAAAAAAATTCTTTAAGAAAAAGAATGTATACTAAAATAATGCATAACACATCTATAGTATATTTTAGTATATAAGTTTATATACAAATTTTATTAAATGCTTTATTTTAAGTGGAGGATTTTATTCTGTGACAGAATAATTTAGGTTTAATGATTGTATGCCGGATTAGTTTTCAAGATTGTTTCAGTGGAGCTCATATTCATTTTCATTACTCTTTAGCATTGTACATTTTGGGCATAATTATAAAGTGGGCCCCATTTATAAATAGAAAAAAGCTAGTAGAAACAAGAGAAATTCGGAGGCGTTAAGTCAAGATAAGCAAAAAGCTAGTAGAAACGAGAAAAAGAAGTGACCTTCATTTTTAGGGATTAGGGAATTTCTAGTGGAATTTAATTATGTTGGTTTATCTGTTATTAGTTTGGAAATCTAAGTTGTTTACGATTATGAATCCAAAGAAATCAGGTCCAGCGAAGAGCTGCATCCGACCCAGAAGAGAATTTCTTGTGATCCTAGAGTTTTGGGTACGAGTATGGTGCAAGTGGGTTGCACATGATCATATTTGTTTTATGAGGCAAATCATCTTTGAACTTCATTCGCAAATTTTGAGGGGTTATTTTGATAATTGAGTGTGTTTGGTTAAAACCCCAATCATAATTTCTACATCTACCTGAAAAGAAAACTAACAAACGAGCCAATTCACAAGATACAAACGAGCCAATTCACAAGATCACTTTAATAATTTGAGGGGCTTGCAAACAATTTCGAAAATATGAAGGACCGATAACTTAAAAACCCTTTAACTTAGGATTTTCTAATATTATCCCCTTAAATCTTTCATATGTTGAAAATAGCCCCTCAAATCATTGAAATTGCTACTAGGTCAATTCTTATGTATTTTTCAAATTAGTTCGTCCGCTCAAGAGCAAAAATAATTTGGAGAGATCAATTTCAAACAACTTATGATAATTGGCGAACGAGATAGTCAATAAGAATAGATTTTTCTTGGTAATCCTTCCCACTGGTACTTCACCTCTTGATTAGAGGGACTAATTTGAAAAAAACTTAAGAATTTAAAGATCAAATTGCAATTTTAATGATTTGAAGGACCAAATTCAAAATTTCATAAGATTTGAGGGACCTAATAGCAATTTTAATGATTTGAGGAACTAATTCAAAATATGAAAGATTTGAAGGACTAATATTGTAAAGCCCCTTTAATTTATTATAATCTACTCATATTTCTATTAGAGCGTGTGGATTTAGAATAAATTGTATTTTTCATTTGCTTCTACAAAGACAATTTCTTCCAAATGCTAGCAACTCTAAATTTGGAATACTTCGACTTTTAGGTCAATTTAGTTTGATACAAAATTGTGAATCTAGCCCATTTATATTATTGTAACAAGAACTTGGCCTAAATCTTAGTGTAGAGAATTTCTCAACATCTTCATTAAGGGCCAAGAATTTCTCAACA